TGAACAACAGCTCAACCTGGAGCTGGGCTGCCGTGAGTCGCCAGCAATGGCGTAGGCTGCAGCCCCTGTGGCAGTGGGTTGCCATGGGCTACCGTATGTAGCCAGCAGCCAGCGTGAGCGGCTCTCAAGCCACAGTGAGCGGCTGTCCAGAGGCGGGTGACTGATCTGCCTCACCCGGGAAGAGCGTAATGATGGTGCCAACTTGGGCCAGTGAAGCAACGTCGACAGCAACTTGTCTGTTCCCCTTCCCCCAATTCCCCAGCGCTGTTCCCATCCCCCCAATTCCCCAATAAAAATCTTTAAAAACAAAACAAAACATTGATTCTGGAAAAAGATGGTAAATGTAATATATTTTAATGTATTGATAACATCTTATAGTACTACAGTAAATCCCCTTTTCATAAGTTGTTATAAAAGGATTAAATTAATTAACTATAAAATGCTCAAATGTGAGTGGTAGCAGTAAGTGCTTGTTTGTCATTTGCTATTAAATTGGGAGCCCTAGGTAAAAAATATCTAATTAAATGTCTGCAGTTTGTAAGTTTATACAGTCTAGACTGAAAGCTTCTGTAGGATAGGGGTTATATATTATTTAACTTTGTACACCCAGCAATTTACATTGTAAAATAATGAATGAAATAAAACTGGTATGCACAATAGGAATAGTCCCACGTTTTCCTTTTTAAAAAGATTTTTTTAACTACTAAATATTGCCATTTCTAAAAGATGGGAAAAGATGTAAATAATGAAGATACAGACTGTTTTCTTCTACTGAAGACTAAGATAAAAAGGCAGGGACAGAGTTTGATCTCAGGCCAATGAAAACTTTATCTTGAATTTGTCATTTTTGGGATTGAATGAATTTAAAATATTTCAATTCCTTCCTTCACTTATATCTTATTAAAATTATTCCATGCAAAACATATGTATAAATGTTCATATTATTCATAATTTATTATTAGTCATAATAGCCAAAAGGTGGAAACAACCCAATTGCCCATCAACTGATGAATGGCTAAACAAAATGTGGTATAGCCATACAATGGAATATTATTCAATTATAAAAAGGAATGAAGACCTGATACATGCTACAACATGGATGAACCTTGAAAATATTATGCTAAGTGAAGAAGCCAGTAACAAACCCCACATATTATTTTATTCTATTTATATGAAATGTCCAAAATGGGCAAATATGTAGAGACAGAAAGTAGATTAATGGCTTCTTAGAGTTGGAGAGGTTGTAAGGGGCACAGGGTTTCTATTGGAGGTGATAAAAATGTTCTAGCAGGTGATGGTTGCACAACTCCATGAATATACTAAGAACTATTGAATTGTACACATAAAAAAAATCTACTCACCCCTTTAAGGTCCAATCCAAACACCACCTTTTCCATAATACCTTTCTTTATCACCCTTGTCTGGGATGATTAAATCTTGTCTTGTGAACTCGTACACCATTTTTTTTGATACTGCTTCCCACATCTACCTTAGTATTTACGTCTTTCATTTGTAAATATTGATGTAGTCCTCATATATTCCTTTCTTCTCATTTAACAATATACCTCTTCTTCCTGAAGAGACAGTACCAACCATTTCTTAAATCAAAAACTTATTTTGTGTTCCTATTCATGGCAGGTACTATTTTTGGTACTGGGGATACAACAATGAATACAATAGAAAAGGTTCTTGCCCTTGAGAGCTTCTAGTCTAGAAGGAGAAATAGACAATAAAACAAATATGATGTCAGGTGGTGGTAAGTGTAATGGAGAGAAATAAAAGAAGAATGTGAGAACAGAGACCTAAAAGGAGGAAACAAGTTACGCAAATACCTGGGAGAAGAGCCCTCTTTGTATTGACCACAATGTCTGGCGTCCTGTCTTGTACAAAGAAGGCATTTGATAAATATCTTCCAAAATTTTTTTGTAAGTCTAGGGTTTAGAAGGGGGTAGTTACCTCATTTAACTTAGATGCTAATGTATATCTTAAACTCATAATTCTGAAAAATAATTTTCTTTTTTTTTTTACTTTTTTAAAAAAATTTTATTGGGGAACAGCCATGGTCATTGGTTACACATTGCTTTCATGCTACAATGGCATAGTTGACTCTTTCAGGGAGGGCGCAGCTCACAAGTGGCCCATGCGGGGATTGAACCAACAACCTTGGTGTTATCAGCACCACACTCTAACCAACTGAGCTAATGGGTCACCCCCTGAAAAATAATTTTCAATGAACAGATTATATTTAATATTTAACTTCAATATGTTTATTATACATT